TTTTTTAAGTAACAAACTCGTGTATATTATAAAAACATTTCCTAATTAGATAACTCTTAAGTTTAGTTTTAAAAAGATTATAATTTAATTCAGTCTTAATGTCTAGAGGTAACTGATTCATGAATTTAATACCCATGTATGACGGAGATTTTTCATAAAACGATGTTCTATGAGAAGGTATTCTTAATATATTGCCATATCTAGTCTGGTAACTGTGACTGTCAGCGTTTCTAGCAAAATAACTTCCCTTTTTTAGAACCTCTAATATGCACTTATAAATATAAATACAGGGAAAAGTTAATATATTATTTTCTATAAAGTAGGGCTTACAAGAAGTTAGTGAAGGAATTCCAAATATTAATCGGATAATTCTTTTTTGTGAAATAAGAATTCTATTAACTTTGACGCTACTGGCACTACCCCAAACAATAACATTAAATGACAAGTGGCAATAAATTATTGAGTAATAAATGTAAATCAGCTTTTTGGTATCAAATATGGACTTTAACTGTAGTAAAGCATAGTAGCCACTATTTAACTTTTTGCATACATATTCAACATCACTGTTCCAGCTCATATCACAGTCAATAAAAGTACCTAAAAATTTAGTAGTATCAGATAGTTTGATTATTTTGTCATTTACTGTAACATCAAAAGAGGATATACGTTTATGACGGGAGCCAAATTGCATGCATATAGTCTTCTCAGCATTTAATACTAATGCGTTCTTATTACACCAAATTGTAAATTGGGTCGATAAAGTATTTAAATAATTTCGGAGTCCTTCATGACTATCCGCGGCAGCTGCAAGTGTAACGTCATCGGCGTACAATACAGTGCAATCAGTACTAACATGAGTTGGAAGATCATTTATAAATATTAAAAAAATGAGTGGACCAAGGATTGAGCCCTGAGGAACCCCGAGATCAACATTTTGTGTATTGGAATAGGTATTATTAAGCTTTACACATATTTTTCTAAACTGTAAATATGACAAAAGCCACGAAAGAAAATTGCCTCGAAAACCAACTGCATACAACTTTTCTTTCATGAAAGTATGATCTAAGCAGTCAAATGCCATTGTTAAATCGAAATAGAGTACCCCCACATATTTCCCTTTATCAATATTTTTATAGATATATTCAACAAATGTATAAGCAGCTGTTTCGGTAGATTTCTTAGGACAAAACCCATTCTGGCATTTGGTCAATATATTGTACTTATTAAGATAAAGAATCATTTTATTGTATATTATTCTTTCAACAATTTTGGATAAGACTGTTGGAACAGTAATGCCTCTATAATTTCGAATACATAATGGGTCGTTCTTTTTAAATATAGGTGTAACTACACCAGTCTTTAAAATATTTGGAAATTTACCCTGTTCAACAGATATATTTATTAAACAAGCCAAAGGTGAAGAAATATGTAAGCCTATATTTAACAGATCTTCTAATAACAGATCTTCCTTTTACATCATACATTTCATATTGAAGTCGACATGTCTCGAAAACAAGTGAATATTAGGAAAAATTTTATATTACAAAAATTACTCAAAATTTAACGATCTTTCCGATGGACCGCATTTCCTCGTTTCAGGGATCAGAAAATTTTTTAGTACCGCTACGCCATCTATACAGAAAGATTTGAATTAACAATTCTAACTGCAATTTGAAGCTATTCGAGCGACCTAACAATCTCAGTTTCCGGAACTAAAATAAATTTCTTAATTTCGGAGATATTGGTAGCGGGAGTGTTAAATGGCATACCTTGTATATCTACGTTTTTTGATAATATATTTACAATTTACATTTATAATACACAGAAGTTATCAAGACTGAGATATGACATTATGCTTTTGAGGACTGACTATTCGAGCAGTGGAGGTGTTTAAAACACACGTCTATCTTGTGAAAATGTTTTTAATAATTTAGTACAGGAAAATAATATATGGGGCATTCCACGCCAAATCGGACGGTTCGAAAAATTTAAAATTTCGATTTCCTTAATTTTTTTATATTTTTTAGTACTCCTCAAAAAATCCTTTCTGGTAAATTTTCAGATTTTTTTGATTACTTGTTCAAAAGTTATAAAATTTTCAAAAAAAACGCTCTATTTTGGTTTTTTGGTCATAACTTTCTTAATAATGGTCCAAATTAAAGCTTTTTTTTTATAAAAATCTTTGTTTTTAGATGGCCTTTACAGATAAAAATACAAAAAAAAATATTCAAATTGTTTTTGATTAAGATTTTTGAGTTTGAAATTTTAAATCGTATTTTTGAAAGTGAGTGTATCTTTCGATTTTTGTGAAAATATTTTATTTCAAACTACTATTCTTTTAACAACTTTTAGGACCGGTCCGGTCATGGGCCCTCCATAATTACTATTTTTTTTTGATTTTTGAAAATTAAAAAAAATATATCTATAAATCATAAGTACTGATTTTTGTCACTGTCTACTTTCTTTTTACTTATTTTAAATTAATTTGAATACTTTTTAATTATTAATAGGTGTTTAAAATCAATAATTAAACGTTGTCTATTTATAAACAATTATAACAAACGTGTTTATTTATTTTCGTGTTCTTTTAAAAATTATTTTATCAATGCTATTTTTTGTTGCAAAGTATTTTTTTTATTTAAATAATAGTATCTTTATGAATTTCTATCCAATTTAAAAAGAGTCGCACATCTTATGAATATTGCTGTCAAATTTTCAGCTGAGAAACACTATTTAGATGCAAAAAATATTAGATTTGCGTTACAATACAGCCAAACCCAAACAAACCCAAAATTTCATTCAATCATTCCAAGGAACAAAATATTATTTTGTAAACTAGAATACTCCTTACCTAATATATTTCCATTGCTCCTTAGAATGATTGAATGAAATTTTTGGGTCCCTATATTGTATCGCAAATTTAATTTTTCTTTTGCATCTAAATAGTGTTTCTCAGGTGAAAATTTGACATCAATAATAATCATAAGATGTGCGACTCTTTTTAAATAGAATAGAAATTCATAAAGATACTATTATTTAAATAAAAAAAAATACTTTGCAACAAAAAAAAAATTATAAAATAATTTTGCAACAATTTTTAAAAGAACACGAAAATAAATAAAAACGTTTGTTATCATTGTTTATAAATAGACTACGTTTACTTATTGATTTTAAACACCTATTAATAATTAAAAAGTATTAATATTAATTTAAAATAAGTAAAAAAGGGTATACAAAAATCGGTACTTATAATGATTTATAGAGAAAAATTTTGTTTTAAATTTCAAAAATCAAAAAAAAAAAAGTAATTATGGAGGGCCCACGACCGGACCGGTCCTAAAAGTTGTTAAAAGAATAGTAGTTTGAAATAGAAAATTTTCACAAAAATCGAAAGATACACTCACTTTCAAAAACACGATTTAAAATTTTAAACTTAAAAATCTTAATCAAAAACACTTTGAATATTTCTTTTGTATTTTTATCTGTAAAGGCCATCTAAAAACAAATATTTTTATAAAAAAAAGCTTTAATTTGGACCATTATTAAGAAAGTTATGATCAAAAAACCAAAAAAAGAGCGTTTTTTTGAAAATTTTATACCTTTTGAACAAGTAATCAAAAAAATCTGAAAATTTACCAGAAAGGCTTTTTTGAGGGGTACTAAAAAATATAAAAAAATTAAGGAAATCGAAAATTAAAATTTTTCGAACCGTCCGATTTGGCGTGGAACGCCCCATATATTATTACTGTTATTGTAAAAAAATATTTTTTGTACTAGGAGGACCCCTTCACCTGGAGAATTTCCAACACTCCTCCGACCTCGCCCACCACGTCCTGCAAGCGGGTCATGAAATAGGCATTAACACCGTGGATTACAACGGCAAGGAACAGCTCGGTTTGGGCGAGCCCCAGGTTATAGGCAAGAACGGCAAGAGGAACAGCGTCGCGCAGGCCTACCTGGTGCCCGCGCACGCGAGGGACAACCTGGTGGTGAGGCCGCTGAGTCACGTCGTGGAGATCATCATCAGCCCTCACACGAAGGAAGCACAAGGGGTTAAGTACCTTCACGACGGGAAGATATTCGTGGCCAAGGCCGCCAAGGAGGTTGTCCTTGCTGCCGGGCCCATCAACACGCCCCAACTTCTTTTGCTTTCGGGTAAGCTATATAGGATGCGTATTAATTACATATGATAAATCATGGATATTCTTCAAGGTGTTGGGCCCAAGGAAGACCTGGAGCACCTCGAAATACAACCGGTGGCCGATTTGAAGGTTGGTCACGGTCTTAAGGACCACCTCGCCTTTATAGGACTGAACTTTGTCTTTAACGAAACGAACGACCAACTCCACAAGGACTACGATGCGGTAGTGGATTATCTCAAAAACGGCAAAGGTCCTCTTACGTCCTTAGGTCTAGAAGCTATCGGCTTCGTGAAAACTGAAGCATCAAAGGAAAAAACAGACTATCCCGACGTGGAGTTCCTCATAACCACGGATATATACAACAAAGGTAACGTTGTTATTTTTTTTACTTAAGTTCTGTTAAACTTTCGTACAAAATTGCATTTTTAAACTATGCGATTTTTTACTTTTTTCGCTATTATCGTAATAATAATCGATAAAGTTTTTTTTCTTTAACAAACACTTATTCTCAACGCAGGCCACGAGCACTTGCGAGACCTGAGGATTAAAAAAGAAATCTACGACGCCGTTTGGGCACCACTAGAAGGCAAAAAGGGCTTCACCATCGCCGTGGTCCTCCTGCACCCCAAATCCACGGGAGTCCTGGCCCTCCACGACAAGGATCCCCTACATCGGCCACTGATCAACCCCAATTACCTCAACGACGAAGACGACCACGACCTGGAAACGATCGTGGCGGGCATCCACAAGGCCTTGAAGCTGGCTCACGCCGACGCTCTACAGAAGCTTGGAATACACCTGAACGTCAACAAAGTACCAGGATGCGAGCATTTCGAAGCCGAAGACGACTACTGGAGGTGCGCCATTCGGCATCTGACCGTCAGTTTGGGGCACGTCAGCGGCACGGCCAGGATGGGGTCGGAGAAAGACAAGACGGCGGTGGTGGATAAGAAATTGAGGGTGTACGGGCTTCATAAGTTGAGGGTGGCCGATTCCAGCGTCATCCCCGTCAGTATCTCGGGGCATTTGACGGCGCCGATAGTATTGATCGGCGAGAAGGCCGCGGAGCTCATCAGAGAAGACTGAAAGTGATGACGCCGACTTGCTTGTGCAAATTTATTTATTGTTTCACTTCGTGCCTCAAGTGCACACATATTTAATCTGTAGTTGTGATTTTTAAATAAAAGTTGTAATATGTATTATGCCAACTTCGTTTTATATTTTCTTAAAACAGATTCGTTATTTATACTTTAATAGAACGCATCTCGTAGAAAACAAAACATTAATAACCTTTTTTTCAGATTTATAAAAGACAACCAAAAATTTTCGCCCGCCAGTAATAAATTCAACGTACCTAACTAATAGGTCTTCTTTTTCCGTTTTAATTAAATTTGTTCTAAAATAATAAAAATATGTAATTACAACTCTTGGCCCCTTGCTGTTCATTATATTATATACAGGGTGTCCCACCGGGAATTACGTCGATCGATATCTAGGAAAGTACTCTCCGAAAATTTTGAAAATTTGTCAACATGGCAATGTCCCTGGGGCGAACACAACTAAAATATCTAGAACACTTCCACTTCCGGCTATACCGGAAGTCGATAGCAACTTGGATATTTTAAATGGGACACCCTATATCAAGGGTCGGCAACTGGCGGACCGCGGTCCAGGTCCGGACCGCGGAAGGTAAAATACTGGACCGCAAAAAATTTTTTTTAAAGTATAAATTATTCAAATAAATTATTTAAAAAATGTTTTTTACGTTTAAGTGCCAATCTTATCATTTTTTCTAGTATTTTACAATGGTGTGAGTGTGTGAGTTCTTAATGGTTAGTAAGCAGATTCAATTTGAGTCCAAATTAACATAAAAAAATAAGCAATGATTTTTTTTTCTGGACCTCGTTAAACATTTTCAAAAGTATCCGGATCCCACCTAAAATTACTTGCCGACCCCTGATCTATAGTTTAATTCATTTTTATATTTATTAAATTATCTATTTAGGCATGATAATCATTTTGTTATGTATAACAAAGCGGTTCAATTACAAGGAACAAGTTGATAGTATAAATATTTTCGCTTATTTTAGGCAATTCCTATAAAATACGTTGATAACAACTTAGAAAACATTCATATTTTGTTAATAATCACAGAAGCACCAAAGACATAATAAAAACAATAACTTCACTTGCGTATAATATGAGAATTCAATGTTTAAAATTAAAAAAGAACAATAATATCATCAAAGAAACTATATTTTCTTTAGAATGATATCCCCCTAAGTCATTTGCTTGCATTAACGAATTTCTTTTGCTATTGAATCAGTGTAGGAAAATATTTACTTTATCGTAGTTAATGGCATGAGCATGAAACACTTAGATTTCATTATTTAATAAAGAATAAAATTAACAAATCAATAATTGAGATAAATAATATTCGTTCTTATAGTACACTCCGTTGGATGTGAAAAGAGCAGCGAACTTTCGAGGATATCTAGCACAGAAGTCAAATCAATCATCGAACGATTTCTTTGGTTATCAATGGTTGCTGACAACTTGACAGCGACTGTGCCAAATCCCTCTAGGAGAAACGTATATGGGACATGAATTATTAGTATGTATGGCGTATGGATTAAAAATGTTGGGGAATTTTAGGGATATTTTAAATATGGTTTCAAATTTATTTTGTTATTTATGCAAAAAAGACATATACAAGGTATCTCATTAAACACTAAACCATTCTCAGGTAGATCTTACAAGAATGATGTAAAGATTATATTTTTTTCAAGGGTCACCCCACCAAAGTTATTTGCTCTCGACAAATGGATTCAATAGATACGTTAGAGGCAGGGAGGCAGTCTTTAACCCGAAAATAATTGCCGACTTGTTTTTTTAATTTTTATTTAGATCTTTTAAGTAAAAAAGTATATAGTACTTATTTATTACTACAAAATGTTTGTAATTAAATAAACTGATGTGTATCTGTCCAATGCTCAGGGGTATATGGACAGGTAAGCTGATATTGTATAGCTTCAGTCTCGAGTAAATTCTTCAATTCGGCTTCACAATATTCGTCCCCATTATCGGTTTGCTACGATTGCCCACTCATGGACATGGTAGCATATATACTAAAAAACTAAAAGGGGCGAGACNGCCTACCTTACACCTGGATGTCTCTCCCGAAAGGGTAACTGTTACTGTTACTAAATTTTAGGGTCACTTTATTAAATATTCCCTATACCTAGGAGTTATAGATTTTGAGCTATTAATTTTTAAAGAAAAAATTTGGCAGATGCAAGAATCCGTGGAAATGCTAGTCTCTTTTCAGGAGCATGATATCAAGCGGATTTTTGGTACCTGATGTAAAGGGCATAGGTAACGTTAAATTATGGTAAACCAGCAAATTAAAAGATTTAATACTAGGTGTTTCATTTATGCTGTTACATTTTGATAACTTCAAACAGCTATAACTTTGTTAACTTAAATAGAACACTCTGTATTTTTTTACTCTGTCGTATGCAGATTCAAATTTCCTTTCAAGTTTCAAGCCATATACGCATTGTTAGGGTTGCCGTTACTACTTTTCGAGATATTTGCAATTGCAATGTTATATTTTTTGGACAGTTTTTCTCGTATCAGACCTGTTGTCAAATTGGCCATGACCAGAAACACTCCAAAATAATTAAAATAATTTGACATTTGTCAAGTTAGTTGTCAAATTATTGTTGTCTGTAATAGTTTCTTGAAAATTAAAAAAAATGCCTGGGTATCGTTTAAATTATACTTATGAGAATTATTTTAATTTGTTTATTATTTATGGAAAAAAAACAGCAGATTCTCTACATGTTCTTGAAATTACTTTGTCACTTTTGTCACATTTTCCCGGTGGGACACCCTGTATATTAATGATTTTAACAATATAATAACTAACTTCTGTAAACTATTTTATGCAGACAATTTAAATATATTTTTCAAGTATAACATCGTTACACGACTGTAAACGTTTGCAGTTGTAACTTAACTATATTCATTCGTGGTGCGTAGAAAATAAGTTGCATCTCAATACATCTAAATATTCCTTAGTTTTTCAAAGAAATTGTTTTTTGTGCGAATTAAATTATAGTATTGGTAATGATGTATTATGCAGATATGATTTGATGCACAACTTTTTTCTCATGAAAAGGTACTCGAAACAAGTGAAGCTTTGAAATTGTAAGGTTTTATCATTAAAAACTGCAACTAATTTGCTAATACTAATACTATAAAAGCCTTGTATTATACACGTTCAAGATTGGAATATAAGACGTCGATCTGGTTTAACAACAATCAAAATATATTTATAAGACGTGTCCAGAGAAAGTTTTTAAAATATTTGCCATTTAAAAAAGTTGATGTTTACTCCGAAAGAGTTACAGTCGTACTAGCTTAGAAATTATAAGAATTTGTTCAGCATTAACATTTTTATAGGTGTATCTAAAATTCCACACAACATATTGACTGTTCTCCTATCTCTTATTAATATATCATAATATTATATTAAGATCACCTATATGTATACCTGTATATTGATGTGTGACAATTTTAATAGTTCTATTATTATTATTTATATGTTCTAGTAGTATTTCTACAGAAAACTGCTTAAATAATCCACAACAGGTGTAGGCAGAGACACGTTTCACACTTGCTATCTCGCTTGCTATACTTTCAAATCATTAAATAGTAATGTAATTTCTTCATGTATTTGAAAATAAGGAGATAATACTTTCAATGATAGTGTGGGGAGGGTCAATGGTAACAAGATGGACCATCGACGTTTGAATATCTCACAAATACCGTGAGGTCAAGCTCGACTAAAATGGGGATTTTTTGACAGTCACCTTCCTTCACACTACAATGATGAGGCGTTTTATTTTTATAACCAGTAAGCGATCTGTCTGGCAGCCCTATCTCGGACTGGCGGACTTTCCGAGAAACTTAAACTTCCCTTTGTTGGGAATTTCTGAGGAGGCGCACGAAAGCACAGCGACCACGAACAAAGAAGAGGCAAGAAAGTCCGGTAGAACGGTTTGGTCGATAAAGGACAAAGGCAAATAGTGCAAAATAAATGTATGAATTTATGGAAAATCCCGATACCACATACTCACCAGTGACGTAACTGTAGAGGTGAGGGAGGGGGTCAAAACATTCCTATCGGTAATACTTGTAATACTTTTTTCGATAGTATTGAGAAAAATTATTCAGGTATTCTAGTTCCCAGTTTTCAAAAAATAATAATAATAAAAATAGGAAGAAAATGCATTTCTGGATGGTCTACAAATAATATATCACAATTCCCTCGATTGATTTTAAAAATTCAGTTAGTTTCTCAGCTTTCCGAAACGCGTATTTTGAAATAATCTTATCTAGTATAATTATTGCCGGGTGATTATGATTATATTAAAATTTACGAACGATAATAGTTTTTTAATGAGCACACGCCACTGGAGCCATTTGCAACCACCTAAGGAGAACCTGCTATCGACGAAAAAAACCTACTATAAAACGCCACCAGCGTGACCATCCCGACTAGTCACCCGCAGAACAACCTTCGACGATGACCCCGCAGCTAGTTCTTGTTCTCTGCATCTCTGTCATGGGGACAAAGGCGTTTACCCCGTTCCAAGTGGTCGATGACTACGTGTCGGAGTTTCAGAACGATCTGCTTCTATTGAAAACAACGCCGTCCTTCGAAGAGGCCCCGACGCCGAAGCACTACGCCAAAGAAAAGGACGAGGCCAAGGCAGGATTGGGCAAGTACTTTTTTAATTAAGTAGAAACATTGAGGCGTTATCGAAGCACAAAAAGACTGGGTTGAAGTTAATTTTCACGATGTTTTAGTTATTATTTGCCATATTTTCGAGAAACGGTATGAATTTTTTTGTTATACCTACGTATGTCGGTTATTATTTTTCCGCCTATTTGATATTGTATTTATAAAGACAAAGATGTATTGTAATTATATTTTTTTTCTGAGAACTGTTTCCCACCATACAAAATTGTATTCTAATAATAAGAATGCATTTTATAAAGACCTTCACGTGATAAAAATAACGCTTGCACTGTTCCCAATATTTTTAGGGCGGATTTATTCCAGGGAAAATATAACTAAAAAATTGAAATGTTTGATATCTCAAAGAGTAAGTAATGTAGAAATGGCAATTACCACAACAAGAAATATCAATTACAGTTTTCTTCCGTTTCTATAATGGTCAATTTACCTAGGCACATACAAAAATAAAAATGATTTATTTTTCGATGTACTATTTGTCCCGAAAACGTTTTGTTTTGTCAATACTTTATCTCGGAGCGAACAAAGAACTTTGGTACTTTTTTTAGTGGAAGAATACGACTTCATCGTAGTCGGCTCGGGAGCGTCCGGTTCGGCGATAGCGAGCCGCCTCACCGAAATACCGGAATGGAGGGTGCTCCTCCTGGAAGCGGGTACCGCCGAGAACGCCGTCACCAAGGTGCCAGCCATGCAGCCGTACCTGGCCACCACGCCTTTCACTTGGCAGCTCAAGACCGTGCCGCAGAACACTTCTTGTTTGGGTAAGTGGAGGTGTACATATTTTTCGCCGTCCGATCAATGTTGCGTCGTTTTCCAGGCACCGAGAACCACGAATGCGCCGTGGGAACGGGCAAAGCTTTGGGTGGCGACACCGCAACCAACGACATGCTGTACACCAGAGGACATCCGAGGGATTACGACGATTGGGCCGACCAGGACCTGCAGGGCTGGTGCTGGCAGAGCGTGTTTCCCTACTTGCAGAAGATCGAGGACGCCTTCGCTGACGGTTTGGACAGAAAACTGCACCATTACGGTAAGCGAGCAGTCATTTATTTTGACTGACAGACAAAAACATTAAATAAAAAAAGTTTTGTAAGTTCGCATAACTGTATAGAAAGTTGTTTCATGAATCATTTTGGTCCAAAAAGCCGTAATGAATATGTCGTTCATGTTAAAAAGAAAGACATATACAGGGTGTTTCTGAAGGTACCATAAACTCGGGGGATGTTAGAATAAAAAAAAATAAGACGATTTTTCCCTATATGTGAATCACGAGCCTATTGTCCTATGTTTTCGAAAAACAGAGTTAAAGATGGATGTTTTTAGCCAAATCTTTCCCAAAATTGACTGTAAAGCGTTGAAATTTGGTACACGTATATATTTTAAGGGTATCTACTAAATGCATCAATGTTAGTTTTTAAGTTATTTATAAGTTTAGTTTTTAACCATCCACTAGAGGTCGCTGGTAGCAATCATTTTATGGCATAACATTTTTTAAACTGGATTACGAAATAAAAAAAAAATTGTAAACCAATAACCTTTTAAGGAAGCCAAATAGTACTAATCTAAATTGATTTATTTTCATCTCAGGAAGTTACCCTTGAAATATGGCCGAGTTGTTTCCGGACACCCTTTATTATAGGATAAATGCTGGGACAGCCAATTGCCTTTTTCTCAAAATTGACTTTTCAACGATTTTAACAAGTATACGTAAAACCAGAGACTTTAGACCTTTGATTCATTAACGCTTTTTGGTCTAAAATAACAACTCTCATCATATAAGTTCAGATACCGCATACTTGAGACTGGTCAAGAAATGAACAGAGACAATCTCATACGCATGTTGTCCCGTTACGATGTTTCCGAATATATAGTTATGCAACACGTATTGTAAGAGTGAATATTGATCACGGACGAGTATATCGCGTTGTTGTCGATTTATATTTCAGTATTATGAAAAATTAAATGTATGTTCCTTCACAGGAGGTCCAGTACATCTGGAGAACTTCCAGTACTCCACCCGATTAGCCACCGACATTCTCGAAGCCGCCCACGAATTGGGAATTAAACAGATCGACTACAACGGCAAGGAACGCCTCGGTTTCGGCGTGCCCCAGGTCACCACGAAAGACGGAAGGAGAAATAGCGCGGCTTCCGCCTACTTGGCGAAGGCCTACAAAAGGAAGAACCTGATCATCAGCACCGACAGCCAAGTCGTCGAGGTGCTCGTTAGCCACCACACCAAGGAGGCCAACGGGGTGACGTACTACCGCGGGGGACAACTGCACGTGGCCAAAGCGGCCAAGGAAGTCATCCTGTCCGCTGGAGCTGTCAGCACGGCGCAGTTGCTGTTGTTGTCCGGTAATCAGATAAGATATTATTAATATATTAATAATTTTCTATACCGGAATTTTTTACAATTTTACACTACATGAAGTATAAAAGTTTGACTTTCCGTCACTTCTTTCTCTTGTAGGTATCGGCTCCGAGCACGACCTGAAGGAACTCAACATCTCGGTGGTGTCGGACCTCAAAGTGGGATACAATTTGAAGGACCATGTCTCCTTCATAGGACTGAATTTCGTGGTTAATAACACTAACATAGAAAGCGACGGCCACGAGTGTCACAGTGCTGTAGTGGACTACCTCAAATACGGGAAAGGTCCTCTCACCACCACCGGTCTGGAACTGGTAGGATTTCTGCAGACAGAAGCCTCGAAGATCAAGGCTCACTATCCAGACGTACAGTTACTGATCACTAGGAATATTTACAATCAAGGTACAGCGGGTTTTTCTACCTCAGTATCTCAATAAAGAAAGTAGAAATTTGACCTCTGTCAGGTATTATAAGCCTGAATGAAAATATACCCATTTAGATCATTTGGATCTAATTAAAAGAATATGTATAAATGCGTTTGAAGGCCCAGGACTTTTTTAAAGAAAAATAAATTGTATCAAGATAATAATTATTTTTTCCCTGTAGGCCACCACCACCTAAGACACTTGAATATCCGCAAGGACGTCTACGACGCCGTATGGGCCCCCTTGGAGGGAAAAGAGGGCTTCACCGTCGAGGTGGTGCTCCTCCACCCCAAATCTACCGGGTACGTGAAACTCCACGGTAAGGAGTCCTCCTGGCATCCCAACATAAATCCCAACTCTCTCTCCGACACTGACGACGAAGACGTCGACACAATTCTAGCGGGAATCCACGAGGCTTTGAAGTTGGTCCATACCGAGGCCCTGAAGAAGTACGGCGTCCACTTAAGTCAACACCAGGTGCCCGGCTGCGAGCACGGCGACCATGGCGACCTAAACGACGAGTACTGGAGGTGCGCCATCAGACAACTGTCCGTAAACTCTAGGCATTTTACTGGCACGGCCAAGATGGGCCCAAAGAACGACAAGGAAGCCGTCGTGGACGAGGACTTGAGGGTGTACGGCGTCCACAAGCTAAGAGTGGCCGATTCTAGTGTCATCCCGGTTAGTATATCGGGGAATTTGATGGCAGCGAACCTGGTGATCGGCGAGAAGGCCGCCGATATCGTCAAGAAGGACTGGCTTAAGGAAAAGTGCCAATGCGAACTCTGAGCGAAACGACAGAGCGTTTACTCGTAATAATATGAGCAATTATCCATTTTATAACATAAGATAATTTTGTATTTAGATAAAAATAAATCAAATAAACAGTATGTTCTACATCAAGTGAATTAAGAACGGAAATTGAAGTCCCGTTTCATCTAACAAAGTACTACAATATTCATATAGATGTCGCTACAGGAAATACGTTTATAGTAAAAATAGTACGATTATTTCATTCATTCAAATTCCGGCAAAACACACCTGAAAAAAAACGAGAAAATGTCAGGTGCACGCACACGTGCACGATAATGAGTTGTCCGGCCTATACGTCCATCCCACTCTCTTGCTATCTCATAATTGCATATGAAAAGAGAAGGGTAATAAAATAATAAAAACTCGAATTTGCGGCCGTCGATTCTTTGTTCTGAAAATATTTCTATTTTCTATCTTCTACATATTATTATGTACATATTTACAAAAAAGGAGGATGGCAAGTGGTTGTACAAATTTATAATATTTGCAGCCAACTAAGTTTTATTTCATATTATTTTCTACATTTTAGTACTTATATGGATTCGGACCAGAGTAGGTGCGAATGTAATTATTTCTTGTATGGATCTTTGAGCTGTTATCTTTTATCGTTGCGTTGTGGCTGCGAAATATTTTATTTGTGGACTTTACTATTTTTTAAATGAAAGGAAAAAACATTAACAGAGTAAGTATTACAATTTGCTAGGCATAGCTGTACTTAGTACTAAATTCAAGTAAATAATAGGTATTAAAATAAATATGTAGGTATTGTATTTGATTATTGAAAATAAAAATTACATATGCGACAATGGACTTTCCGCTTACTTAGCCGTAATATAAATATGGCATATTGTCGTTGCAATGCACATACAGGCTGTTCCAATAGTGTGACAAAGTTTATAATTATTTTCAGTTATAGTTGTATAGGGCAAAATCTTCAGGCCAAAAACAAGATTTTCTGATCGTTTAATTCGGTCTGAAAATAATGAATAATGGAAATAATAATAAAATGTGAATCCGAGAAAGTAACTTTTTTCGTATCACTACTACAGGCAGTTATACTAAACTTTATCGCACTATTGTGGCACCCTATATATGACTAGATATATCATTATGGTAAATCAAAAGCATAATAGGTAAAAATATATAATTATCTATGTTTATAACAAATATTATCTGGTAAAATTCTTTTCTTACTTTCAGATACAGAGACAGTTAAATATAACCGGAAGAAGTCTATATGTTATTTCGTAATATACCTATAGTGGTGAAAACAACCCGCTCTATGTAGAACAAATTAAGAAAGATGAAGAATTGTGGAAAAAATCAATGGCAACAAATTTGGAACAATTTTATAAAAATTGTATACTACCAGAAATAATATACAAAAATATTCCACAGGGAAAAAGATGTATGGATCCAGAATATATTATAGAAGCTCAAATTAATAAAAAGAAATAATTTTATTTTATGATTTTTTAAATTTTTTCCTGTTCTACTGTACCTGTTCTATTTATTTCTTTATTACTTTCGTTTATTTACATATTTATTAAACTACACTGTTCCACAGAATTTCTGTTTATATTAGAGGTATTAAAGTACCTACAACTATTTTTTCAAGTGAAGTGAACTGAATACCTATTTCTCATAAAAAAAATTAGTCTCAAATCGTCCTTTTGTACATAATTCTTTACACATTTTTTGGACAAAATAAGTATCTTGTACATATTTTTTATATTTTCTCATTATTATGTATATTCACAATTAAAATTCTATTTATATTAATATGCGATTTTTTTTTATCAAGAATTACTCAATATTAATTATTAAAAATATAATGTTTTCCATTTCTGTTTATACCAAAGTAAGCCGCTTTATTCACAAATCGTAATTATAACATAACTTTTCGTTATGAACAACTTTTCTTATTAACATTTTTTTTATATTATCAAAAACAAAAGCAGTTTATTCTTCAACGTTATTAATTTTGTTAAATTTCTGATCACCCTGTATAAATTACAGTTTTTCATGACAAACATATTCAATTAAAAAGCAAAATATTTTTTGTCACGAATTACTTTTTCTAGTAGAATAGAAAATAAAAATGTTTTCCCTCTTATCCACTAAACGTAGATACTAATATAGGTATATTAATTATAAATTATGGTTTTAAATAAACTAAAAATTGTTTATATTTCATATTTTCTAAAATTATATAATAGTATGGACTTGCATTGTTACTTATATACTTTTATACAAAAATATATCTAAAATGATCATGACATTCTTTAAATATTTACGTATCAATTAACAGAAACCATGACTACCAATTCAGAATCAGGTTATACCAAATTAACCACATACAACAGCTGTTCGTTAAAAATAACCCGAGTCCATTCATAAATAAATTTTTACGACTGCGACATCTATTACAAATCAAGCGAATTAAAAGTCGGAGATAATGCTATTCATGAATTAATATTTTTTAATAACTTTATTCCAATATAACTTTTTAAATAATAAAGTGATGAACAAACTAGGAAATAAAGTCTAATCAGTTTATTTATTTAAAGACAACTATATAAAAAATTGCATAATTCTATAATACTATGAAGAAATAATCGTTTCTTTGTAAAAGTCCAAAAAACCTTCATATTTAGAAATTAATTTCTCACGAATTATTTACCTATCCCAATTAATTTTTGCTTTACTGTCTTCATTTATACTTTGCCAAATGTGATATGAAATTTTACTACTTTCTTCCATTGCTTTAAAAAGATATATTGGAATAAAAAAAGGGCTGTTTTCTACCATTTTTCGGTATAATTTAGGCAACCAGAGATGCATCAGTTTCCATCCTTAAGGGCCGTAACTTCCTTCACGATGTTAGATGTTAGATTAGAATTATAGTCGGCTTATTTACAAACTGGCAGACCATTTTCTGATTAATTATAAGAGTAATTTTACGTGAAATATTAAAATTATAACAAAAATATTTCCTATAAAATACGTTTCAAATCGAATTTTACATTGAAGATCAACATTTCACAACTTTCAGCGGATTCGTAGTAGAGAAAACTACATTTTTATTTTTTATAATATTATGTCCCGACAAGTATTGAGACAATCCAAGTAGAGTACGCTGCTGTCGTACGTAATAATAATAATAGATGAATACTTTTTGTTTATAATATTTTTCTACGGATGAGAAATGGTTCTGTTGCATGAATTTATTTATGAAACAAGAGCAATAATAGAAAAGCAACAGCGTTCTATTTTCTTTGGTGCTGTAGGTAATTTAATTAAATTGAGAATAATAATACATAGAATAACATAAATTCAAGTAGTTTCACTTAAGTGGAGTTAATTTTAACCCTTCTAAACTTTGTCGATTGTTATGCAAACTTTGACAGCAGCCTACTTCACCTTAATTTTCAATAAATAGATTATTTCCGTGGATGTCGGTACACACACAAATACTATGCAGATTTCTGACTAACGAAACGACTGAAAATTGCAAGATTCTGAATATAACTTTATATTTGAAACATACTCTGTAAGAAAAATGTTCTCATAGTTCTAATATTATACTTTACTCTTCCATTTAAAAAAAATACTCCGCCATTTTGAAAATAAACCGACCGTTATGCTGATATTGCGCGTCTTGTAAAAAATATTCATATGTATTTGTATATTACAATGCACAAAGACAGCCTATAAATTATAGTTATTTTCTCTAGTTTCCTCATGGAGGAAGCTATCATTTGAATTTGAAGTGAAACACTCTATATATATAAGTGGGTACATGCATTATTTTACCTTACAATCGATCAATATTCCAATGTGAACGCAGAACAATCAGCACTAACCTGTAACAACGAAAAACTCAATTAACTCAAACATTTAGTTGCATTAAATTAGTGAAAATTTGACTAAATACTAAAATAGCAAGTAGGTGCATACTTTTTTGTACTCATAAAAATTTTATCTAAAAGTACTCGGTACATTAAGCATGCTTTAATTGTTAACAATGTATTATGTACATTTACGACATCGAAAGGGTATTTTTACTACGGGAAAATTACATACTATTTCAAGAAGAAAAGAATATATTTTTTACATTACCTAAAAATTTTTCCAAGACAGATTAGGAGGAACTTAAGTGAAGGAAAAATAACAATAAATAAATTTAACAAGATTTATTAATGCAGAAACTGACACATACTCTCTAGCTAGAGTAAAATATGAATTTCTGAATTATATCTAAAGATAAATAATACAGAATACTATATATTTAAACCAATTAACACGATGAAAAATTTGGCATACCAGGTTAAAGTTAACGAACTCAGTAAAAATTATATAAAGCAATATCTGTAAAGACCTCCTTACTTATTTAAATGACAAAGTATGTATTTGATTCTACGTACATTATTTTTAATGACGTCTTTATCCTTCAATGTTTAAATTTAAAAATGAGCTAAAAATACGTTTTCAAACTCTCGTAGTCCGTCCGTATAAGGTTTAAATTAATCTTAGGCTTCTTTAATAATGAGGACTAAGTAAATACACACACACTATGTACTTACTTATCTAATTGTAAGACAAATAAGACACATTTTCTTCCATAAAATTAACTTGTAATCAAATAAAAAAAATAATTATTAAGTATAAGAAAAAATATTCATGTATTCTCTGGCAAAAATTTTCCGCAGTTTTCATTTGTATGAAGACTTTTTCCGGATGAAAATTTTACCCTAGTCTTCTGTTCCGATAGGTTGTCTAGTAAAAAAGTGAAAAAACACGTAAATGTGTCACTTATTTGCAATTTGCCAACTTAGTGTCGCTTCTTTCGACTTACATTTTTGATATTATCATTCTCTTAAGTTTTCAGGTTTTATGATTTGAATATAAAATAAAAGAGAAAATATAAACATGAAATTCTACACAATGTATCATGTACTCATTTTCATTTTTCGTGAATAAAAACTATTACAAATATGTAAAATTCCAACAATTTTTATCAGTGCAGATGTCATTTTGTTATACGAGTTATTTACTGAACACGGTTTCGTAGAACGTTCAAATTGATTCGTTA